GTTCTGTTCTGTTCTGTTCTGCTCTGCTCTACTCCTATTCTATTCTATTCTATTCTATTCTGTTCTGTTCTGTTCTGTTCTGTTCTGTTCTGTTCTGTTCTTCTCTTCTCCTCTCCTCTTCTATTCTAAAGGCATTTAAGCCAAAGACTAATGCATAAACCATCTTCTGCTCAAGCAGCATTAGGACTAATAGCTGAAGCTCCCCAATATAGTTCCTGAAAAGACTCAACTGTTAACTTGTGATCAGCCCAATGACAGGAGAGCTGGGCTAAATGAATGGTCATTGATGACTGCCCATCTGAGAAGAGAGCTAAATTTGTCTCTTAGGCCCTTATAAAACTACTTTTTGACTGAGAATTTCATACAAGCAGATCAAAATTGCCTTCAAAATATCAAGATAGTTGGAGTCAGATTGGTGTTCTGTGAGTCTGAAGGCTTGAGTCCATTAGAAGTGTCCTTTCCTGCTGCTTTACTGATGGATGAAAAAGACAGTAAAAATTGCCTGATGGTGTTTTCTTAGCTCAAGAAAACAAAACCAACATGCATGGAAACAATTTTAATTGTAAGAAGAAAATATTCAAGGCTATCAAATGGAATTTGCTCTTGTTTATGTTTGTTAACGAAACTGTACCTTCATCCTTGAAAGATTTGTCCTTCAATTTCTGAGGGAGTGAAAAGCTTTAGAAATGTTGATCCTGAAATACTGATAATCTAAAAATTATCTCTGCGGTAGGGCTAAAAAAAAAGATTAGCATTTACTGCAAATGTACAAAGATGGTGACCTAGATAAGAAAAATGTTTTGAAGCAAAGAATAATAAATGGATATGTCTATATTTCACATTCATTAATGCTGGCAAGGCACAAGGTTGGGACCATGTTTCCACTATGGAAAGTCTAAGGCAGGAAATAATCAGGACTAGAAGTTCTCTAGAAGTTTGTTGCGGCATTGACACTAGTAATTACTTGTAATGACCTGTCCAGGGTGCTGAAAACATTTTCCACTTGATATTCTTGACCATGATTCTGGCCTGTCTTGACATTTCTGTTCTGGTATCTAAGGTTTGAATTTTGAATGCAGTACAAGGTCTTGCTTTCTTTATCAGCTGGCTGTGCCATTTGCCTTCTACAAATTCTCCTTCCCTGAGACAGATGCATGGACATAAAGATAAAGTTTCCCCTCGCACATATGTGCTAGTCGTTCCTGACTCTAGGGGGTGGTGCTCATCTCTGTTTCAAAGCCAAANCTAAATACCAATCATTAGATTAGAAATACCTGCAACCCAGAGTTACAAAGAGCACCTTGAGGAATTAAAATAGTTAAAATGCGATGATTTCTTCCAACAAAACTGGTTCTCCAAACTGCTTAGAAAGTTAACAATGGATTCTAGTGATTGGTGTGAACGGAATGAATCCCACCACCGGTTATTTGCATCCTGGGCCATATAGACATTCTTAGAAAACAAAGATATCAACAAAGATGGTGGCTATGTTTGAAAATGTGCCTCTGTCCACAAAAATGGACACAGGCCTGCTGGGAACATCCTATATATCATGACTGACCAAACTTGGCAACTTTAAGACCTGTGGACTTCAACTCCCCGAATTCCACAGCCTGAGTGGTTGGCTGTGGAGTTCTTGAAGTCCACAGATCTTAAAGGTGCCAAAGTTGGACACCCCTACTGTATATGCTAGCTATTTTGTAGTCAGGCTTATTTCAACTGTGGCCATCCGTTCTAAAGTTGGAGGACGTCAAGCTCAAACTGTGCAAGTAGTTCTCATCTACCACCCACAATTGGGACTGGTAACTCTGTCACTACGTGATGCACTTGTTAAGTCACTAACTGCAGCTTGCAACTTGACGCTGGTTTCCCCACTGACTTCATTTTAGCCCTGGTGGCACAGTGGCTACAATGCGGTATTGCAGGTTAATTCTGCCCACAGCTAGGAGCTCAATCCTGACTGGCTCAAGGTGGACTCAGCCTCCCACCCTTCTGAGGTGGGTAAAATGAGGACCCAGATTGTTGAGGGACAAGATGCTGGCTCTGTAAACCACTTAGAGAGGGCTGTAAAGCACTGTGAAGCGGTATATAAGTCTAAGTGCTATTGCGATTGCTTGTTGGAAGCCAGCTATGAAGGTCACCAATGGCAATCACGTGACTGAATCACAATCACATGACAGCGGGGATGCTGCAATATCTTCACCTCAAGGGCCAATTGTAAGAATTCTCCTTCAGTGTCCTTTTAACAGTGAAAGCTCCCTGATGAAGTGGTTGGTAAGTGAGGACTAGCTCCATCAAATGGTAAATATTGCCCTAAGTGATGCTGTATTCCTCGTAATTTCACAAGCACCTCACTGTTATTTATTAATTGGCAATAATATAGAAATGGTGTATTATTCTGTGATGATGAAAAGAATTGTGGAACAGTTCAGGGACTCTGTCCATCTGCAGCGCGATAACTTGGAAAACAGAATCCTTTATAGGAGAAGAAGATCAAATTTAGAAGTAAGCAGAATGAGGTTGAGGGCTGTGGGAAAAAAAGGAACAATCCTCAGATTCTCCCACTCTTTCCCTGTTAGACCCTGTTGTGACCTGTTGGCTGCCAGCCCCTTCAGCAGCTGAATCAGACGAGGAGGAGGTGTGGGATTCAGGATCAATATGAAGGCAACCTGAGAGCTCCAAGGGGAAAGAGGAAATGGAGCTGGTAGATAGAGAGACAGAGGCAGAGCCTGGGCCATCCATCAGCCCTCAGATGGAGAGTCAACAGCCCCCAGGTCTGGAGGTGGCTGATGAGGAAGAGGAGGAACAGCTGGGTCCAGTGCCTGATGCACGGATGCACAGAAGGCAGAGGAGAGGAGAGCAGTGGAAATCTATGGGCCGGTCCTTGGGACAGAAGAGCCATGGCTGCCACGAAGCTCCACCCTAGCTCTGGGGATAAAGGGCAGGGGGCGGAGATGAATAGATGTGGCAGACAACTATTCATCCCCCTGCCCGACAGACTTGTTAGCCTGTTGTGAGAGAGAAACTTTTGCCGGGGCTGCTGGTGCTCCTAATAAAGGAATCATTGATTGATTACAGAGGGTTTGTTGTGATTGGGGAACTGGATCAGAACAGATCCATGGAACTCAAACAGAAGCAACTTGTATATATCCACCTGATTAGAATCTTCTTTTATAACAAAATGCAATACATACTCCAATTATTCCCTGGAGAGAAAGTGCACACAAACATGAGATGCTTGTTCATAACACAGAAGAAAATATAGATCTTTTCTATGGCCTGTATTAGTGAAAGGATTGGAAAATTTCCTATAGAAGCTATAGGTGTTTACTTTGTATGAGCTTAGAAGAACTCTCAACATTTGCAGATGGTTTTCCATGGGTGGCCTAACCAGGCCAGACTCCGTTTAACTTTGACTGAGGTCAATGGTAGGTAGCAATAATACTTAGACTTATATACCACTTCACAGTGCTCTCTCTAAGCAGTTTACAGAGTCAGCATATTGCCCCCAACAATCTGGATCCTTGTTTTATTGACTTTGGAAGGATGGAAGGCTGAGTCAACTTGAGCCAGTGAGAATCGAACTGCCTAATTGTTGGCAGCAGGCAGTCTGCAGAAGTAGCCTGCAGTACTGCATTCTAATCACTGTGCCACCATGGCTCATGATAGATCATGATAAGAGCCCTGGTGACGCAATGGTTAAAATGCAGTATTGCAGGCTAACTCTGCTCACAATCAGGAGTTCGATCCCGACTGGTTCAAGGTTAATTCAGCCTTGCATCCTTCCGAGGTCGATGAAAATGAGGACCCAGATCATTGGGGGGCAATATGCTGACCTTGTAAACTGCTCAGAGAGTGCTGTAAAGCACTATGAAGCAGTGTGTAAGTCTAAGAGCTACTGTTGTAAGAGAAAATAAATCCCCCCCCCCATATCCTGAGCAACAGATATTTTAGGAATTAATTGTGATGAGATGAGAAAAGGTTGCAATACAATCATACTGGGTGCATGTTAGATTATCTTTTTTTTCCCAATTCCCCCAGGAAAAAAAAAGGGAATACAGTTAGTAGAATTAGCTGAAGCTGGGTAAGGTAGCAGGCCATACCAATGTCACAGCGGCTCCCTCCGTAGCTGGGAAGGCATAAGCATGTGAAAGTGTGGATGCCATCGACACAGGTCGCTCCATTCAGACAGGGGTTGGAGTGGCACTCATCAATGTCTGGAAGAAATCAAGGGCTGCTATTAGGACTTTGGCTAGGCAGAAAGTCCACAACAAGAGACTCGGTTTTCTTGATTTAACCAGGATATAGAAGGAGGCGATGAATTAAAGGATGCATAGAGGCAACGAGACCCATTTGGAGATGGGGGCAAAGGGAAACTGCAGCCACTGGAGTGGAAGAAAATGAGTGGGAAATGGAGAGAATTTCCCAACCATAGGGGAAAATAAAAAAAGCTTGGCAACTACCTGGCTACCTGGCTCAATGGCCACCAGAATGAGAGTCAAGCCCAGATGAGAGTCAATCACTCCAAAATCATGGGAAGAATGGGATATCCTTAATTAGTAAACATAGGAAAAATATGGAGAACGGCCACTTTCTTATGCTTGGCCCATTGAGGGAGTCTAATTTTCTTGGAGCTCAGCAGAGGAAATTCAATAATCTCATAAATTAAAAATGCAATAGAAAACCTCATAAGAGCTTATGCATCAGAGACAAATTCTTTGTATTCGAATCATGTAAGACCAATAAAGAATATTCTGTTCTGCTCTGCTCTGCTCTGCTCTACTCTATTCTATTGTGGGATTCAAATAATTTAACAACTGGTTCTCTGCCCTAATGATTTTTTCCAACTAGTTCACCAAACTGCTCAGAAACTTAACAATTGGTTCTCCTGAAGTGGTGCGAATTGGTTGAATCCCACCACTGATTCTATTCCATTCCTATCCTGCCCTGCCCTGCTCTGTTCTACTTCTATTCTATTGTATTCTATTCTATTGTATTCTATTCTATTCTATTCTGTTCTGTTCTGTTCTGTTCTGTTCTGTTCTGCTCTGCTCTGCTCTACTCCTATTCTGTTCTGTTCTGTTCTGTTCTGCTCTGCTCTACTCCTATTCTATTCTATTCTATTCTATTCTGTTCTGTTCTGTTCTGTTCTGTTCTGTTCTGTTCTGTTCTTCTCTTCTCCTCTCCTCTTCTATTCTAAAGGCATTTAAGCCAAAGACTAAT